CTCTTTAATCCCTCCCTCCCTAACCTGGCCTATATCTACTGTTTCTTGATCCTGTTACCGTCTGATTCTATAAGGCTATGCCCGATTGTGGAAAGCAGGGCTCTTATGCAAATGCTACTCCTAGTCCTCTGTGGAATTTCATCTTCTAACCTCCCTCTCTTTCCGGTCTTAGGTAGCCGGGTACTCCATCACTTATCTGTATTGCCAGTTCTGCCTTTTGCCTTCCTGGTCGTCTGATAATCGACATTTATTATCTTTCTTCCCCTGGCGGGGGCTAACCCCTTGCCCTTTTGGGGCCTACCTATTCCTCACGCTGGTCTGCGTTGTACTTGTAACCCGTTGGGAACACCTCCGGCTTGGTCACTGGCTCTTGTATCGTCTAAGGTTTTCCTTGTTTGGCTGGCTGAGGATTAGTCTTGGATTGTCAGATTGGTTGGGTGAGTTCAGGCTGTGCAGTGTTAATGTGGGGTGGGCTATGTTAGGGCGTCTCTGCAATGTGTGGTTGAGCTTGGCTGCTACCTCTCCACTGCCCAAACCTAATACAGGCCTTTTCTACTGTCGTGATTTTCCCGTCTCCTAGTTGTTGTTTTTTTAGTCTTTAATGATTTTGTCTTTATTTTCTATATTTTGCTTAATTTTTTTGTAGGCAGGACTGGTCCGCGGATGGACCAGGGCCCCCTCCCCCGACCGGGGTCCTCCCGGTTGGACTGGCCGGTGGACTGGGCCCCTCCCGATCGACCCGAGCGCATTTTTACTGGGGGTTGCTATTTTTTTTTTTGGCGGCGCGGCGGTGTGTGGGAGGCCTTTTGGAGGCAGTCCCTGCCCCACAATTCCAAAACTGGGTCCCGTAGGCCTGTTTCCTGTGAGTCCAAAAAGCGGCCGATCTTCGCCGCCGATCATCACAGATCAGCGGCAAAGATCAGCCTGTTACTATCCTGGTCATTTCCCAAGTGCAAATTCACAATGAAAGACAATGCCACCCAATTGCGAAAGAAATGAAAGCACTTGCAAAGAGATAGAGACCAGAGGAGAGAGAAAGAAGAAGAAGAAGAAGAAGAAGAAGAAGAAGAAGAAGATATGCACCAGCAAGACCAATGACAATTCCCCCTTCTCTCTCTCCACCTTCCTCATCCTCCTTCACTTCGCCAATCTTACTCTTCTCTCAATAATAATAATAACAATGAATGGATGAACCAGAATCAATATCCGAAGTTCCCTCTTACTGCTGACTCAACAACAAGAACAACAACAAGTTCACCATAGTTATGGCTTCCCTCCTCCTTCCTCCTCACACACGCATGGGCTATGGCGGACTACTGAGGGCCCTGCCCTCCTGTCCAAAGGACAACCCAACGCAGCTATGGCGCTGCACTCCTGTCCAAAGGACAACCCAAAGCAGCTATGCTGCTGCTACTGACTGGTCCGCCATGCCAAGCTCTCGGTCAACGGGTGATAGAGAAAGTGAACCTTGTACTGTTTGTTCCTCCCTCTTCCCTCGTGGGAAACAATTTTGTCTATCTCATGACCGCCATCGATAGGACGAGGTATCATAGGATCTCGGAAGGGAAAAATGTCATCATCGATGTGTGGAAACAGTTTCGATGCGTGAAAGACCGGATACGTGCACAGATGAGGAGGCGCGTCAATCACATACGAAGGACCAAAATCATCCCCAATCACCTTCAAAACCTGCCAAGGGCCATAGTATAATGGAAGAAGCTTCCGTGATACACGCTCTTCATCTGAAAACTCGGACATTTTGACCAGACATAATCCCCTACTTTGAAGTTCGCTTCTTTGCGCGACTTATTCGCGTGTTTGATCATGGCATGCTGACGCTTGTTCATTGCTGCGATAGCAACTTTGAGCAGGTGTGCGTACTTGGCATTGTAGCCAGGCATGCCGGGCGTCCGACTAGGTGACCGTTCAAGGAACAGATAGGAAAGAGGATTGCGCAGCTGCCATCCGTACTGCAGCTGATTCCGTGTCATGCCAATTGCAGAGTGAATGGAGTTGTCGTACAACCCCTTCACTTTGTGTAACTCCTTGTCCCATGTGTTCTGGTCTGGAACAATCAACGCACGAAGTAGTTGGATGACAGTCTGATTGATTTCCTCAGCCAATCCATTGGCTTCGGGGTGTCGACCAGAAGTCTTGTTGAGTTTGATGTCGTAGATCTGAGAAGTGAAGTGCTTCCAATCTTTACTAATGAACCTGGTGTCCCGATCACTCACAATAGTTTTCGGGTGGCCAAACTGCAGAATGTATTGCTGTTGAAATTCTTCGATGACAAGCTCAGTCGGGGCATGGGGAGGGAAAGGTATCAAGTTCAGAAATTTGGAAAAACGGTCCACGATAACCATGACTTGTGAATTCCCTGCCTCACTCACCTTTCCCATGTCCGTGAAGTCGATGGAAATCGACTCACCGGGACCATCAGGAATGGGGAGGGGTCTCAGCAGACCATAAGGCTTATGCCTGTGGACCTTGGTTCTTTGACATACTTGACATTCAGCAATGAACTTCTGAGCAGATCCCTTCATTCCCGGCCAATCAAACTGCTGCAGAAGACTTCCATAAGTCTTCTCAAAGCCGAAATGCCCACTCCGACCATGTGCCAAATCCAAGAAATGAGTTCGGACAGGCGCATGGTTGGGCACACACAAACGATCAAATTTCCCATACCGGCGGAATACAAGACCCTCACACTCATGAAAATCAGGCTGACTGTTAGGGTCAGCCTTGAGCTGCTCAAGGATGGGACTAAGGTCCGGACCCTTGGCGGTGTGTTCGACCAGATCCTCCTTCAGTTTCCTTCGGAGGTCATACGAACAAGTCAAAAAATCAGGATGGTGAGAGAGAGCATCAGCAACACGGTTATAACAGCCTTTCTTGTGTTTCAACTCAAAATTATAGACATCAATGTCATGCAACCAGCGGGTCAGTGTAGGAGAGAGATCAGTTTGTGTCTTAATCCACTGCAAGGTCTGATGATCTGAGTAGACCTTGAAGTGCCGACCCAAGAGGTAGTGCTTCCAATGTGTGAGCGTCTCGCGCAGGGCGTAGAGCTCACGCATATACGTGGAGGTAGCTACCTTGTGGTTGGGCATGTGTTTGCTGTAATACTCGAGCGGACGCAGGCCATCACCATCATCTTGTTGCAGCACTGCACCAATCCCAAACTGGCTCGCGTCCGTAGTGACTACGAATGTGAGGTTGGGATCCGCAATGCGGAGAACAGGATGACTCACCAATGCCTCTTTCAAGGCTTGGAACGCAGTCTCACATTTCTCACACCACGCATAGGCAACATTCTTGCTTGTTAGTCTCGAGAGTGGGTGAGCAATGACAAAAAAATTGTGCTGGTCACTCGGATAAACTTCAATCTGGTGGTAACCAGACTTGAGGTCGATCTTGGAGAAGACCTTGCACCCACCTGCCGCATCTATCAGATCATCTATGCGAGGCAAAGGATACGCGTTCTTTCGGGTGATACGGTTTAGGCCACGATAGTCAATGCACATCCGGAGTTTGCCTCCTTTCTTCGGCACAAACAAGACAGGTGCACCGAACTCAGACTCGCTAGGCCTAATCCATCCACGGTCGATCATGTCATCAATCTGTCTCCTCAACTCCTCCAACTCGCCTTGTCCCATACGATAGACGTAGCCCTTTGGAGGAACACTCCCTTCTATTATCTCGATCTTGTGTTTAACCGGACGCTCGGGAACTCCACGAGGTTCGGCCAAAACTTCAGGAAATCGATCTAATAGCCGGCGAATGTTTGTTGGGACCTGCGGTGGAGGATCATCCTCATAAGGAGAAAGAAAATCAGATCGAGAATTTACAGCAATTACAACCGGATTTGAAGTACTTGGATCAGAAGTAGAGGGATTATCCACAGTAGAAGTAGATGAAATAGAAGTAGAAGTGGTAGAAGTAGAATTACTTACCGAGATAGAAAATGCAGCAAAAGTAGAAGGCACATGGAGAGGCTTTACAAGAGCTACATGTACATGCTCAGCTTCCTTGCGCCTGCGCACTGATTTGCAGAATTTGTTTGCACTTAAAAGAGTCACAGGGGACTCGCGCGTCTCGTCCAATAGAACGGTACGCTCGTTCCCCTTGGCATCACGCACCACGAACTGGTTATCCGCCCACGTGGTCCTTAGGCAATGAGCCTTTAACCAGCCCAACCCAATGACCGCGTCGAACGGACACTTGTCCATGACATAGAAGTTCAGCTCATGTGTTACAGTGTGATCCTTGTCAAAAGTGACGCGCACACTTTTTGACAGCATGTGTGGAGGTGACAACCTCTTGGTTGCCCACCTAGGTCTGACAAGGGTTCTGCAATTCCACTTGCTTCATTCCCAGACCCGCCTTACGAATCCCGTTAGGAGAAAAGAAATTGGTGGTTGAACCACTATCAATCAGCACGCGGATGTATCGGCGGTTAATGAGCAGTTTAAAGAAGGTTAGCTCCACACTCCCTTGAACACGGCGTTGCTGCTTGAGCTGCAGCCAATGTTCCAGGTGAGCGTGGAAGTCAACTTCCTTAGACTCCTCCCAAGGCTCAGTGTACAATACATGAACTGCAGCAGCCTTGGATTCAGCGTCGTTCCGGAGTTCAGGGGCAGGCTGTTGATCAGATTCAGACTCCTTGGAGGGGCCTGCAACTGACGCTTCAGCTTCCCTTGTTGTAGAGAGCACTGATGACTCTTCTACGCCCTTTGCCTGTTTCCCTGCAGACGATAACAGTCCTACACAGCATGCCCAGGTTTTTGACAATGCAAGCATACGCGCAGTTTGGATCTTCTCCCATTCTTTTTGACTGATGCGGAGGGCTTCCCAAGGCTTGGTAGAAGCGTCCTCCGGTTTCTCAGGGATTTTCGCATTCTTAGGGAGGTGTGCAATAGTTCCCCTCCCCGAACCACGGTTAGGCCCCTTGGTTGAAGCAGTCTTTTTGAAAGCATTAAGTTTTTCATCTTCGTTCACGTCAGACTCAATGGTCGATGTAGATCAGCCCATATCGGAGTCCGGCTCTAGATCGTCATCTAGAAACAGATCATCCGCGTAGGACTGATCTTCAGCCTCCCGATGTTCATGCAGGGCAAGCTGGTTACTGCTCCCATACCGCTTGCGTTGTGATTTGCTACCTGCAGCGGGTGCCTTTTTACGCCTGGCGAGGTCCTTGGCATCTAGGTCGACTAGATCCATCATGAGCTCTCGCCAAGTGGTATGGTCTTTGAGTGCTAACAGGGAGAGGTATTCTTTAGGGGCCACTCCCATGACTACATCCATGCAAGACACGTCGGTCATTCCCAAGTTTGGAGTGGTGAACAGACCAGTCAAGTGTTGTTCCAAAGCCTGCATAGAGGTCCTCCATGCTTGGCCCTTGAGGGCCTCGAGCTTCAGTCTTGCCTTGAGCGCAGCGTGCTTATCTTGGTACCGTGTGATGAGAAGGTCCTCAAGAGTGCGTACAGGAGTTACTTTTAGCCACTCGGTCAGGTCAATCCTCTCATAACCTGCTGTAACAGCTTGGAGTTCTATGAAACTCCATACTGCGGACTCAATATTTGTGCCCATGATCATGCTTCGATCTTCCTGCGGCGTTCGCAACACTTCGAAGTATGAGCGCATGGAGCTAATCCAGGAGGTGATGTCCCCCTTCCCGTCGTACTTGGACGGCAGAGTGGCCGCCCACTTGTCCACTACGGGACCGCTGTACTGTACGCCAGTAAGAACTGTGGCGTTTTGGGCTGATGTTCTTGCATTTGGAACTATAACTAGTGCAGAACTGTCGGTGCTGCCGCTTGAGGAGCTGGCACCGGTTCCTGTGTTGGTCAGAGTTCCACTTGCTCTTGCCATGAGGACTGTGTTAGATTGAGAGACTGGGACTGCAGCCGGTTGAGGGTTAGGAGGACGAGGGGCAGATAGTTGGGACTGTTTGAGGCTGAGTATCTCAGCCTGCAGCTCTTGGTTCCGCTGCTCCAGTGCTGTCACACGGGACTCAAGGTCTTCCAAGGTCCGCAGTGGAACGAAGGCTGCTACAGCAACAGCTAGCCTCTCTTGGAACCGGTCAGCATTGGCTTCCGGGACCTGAAGGAGGGCCACCTGATCAGCAATGCTTGTGGTTCTGGCTGCTGCCTCTGCCTCCCTCTCCCTCTGTACGGCATCGTCGTAAAGCTTTTGGAAGAACGGTTTCTCGTTCTCGTCCGCTGCGTCCAGCATGGCCTGCCATTGGGCAGATGTGATGCCTGCCATGCCGGAGGAAGGGGTGTTAGTAAATCTCTCAAGAGGGGTCCACTCTCTCCTCTCGTTTGGACGAACACTCCTCTTGCCCTTCCTCACACTCTCAAAAAGAACACCTTCTCTCTCCCTTCTCTCTCTTTCCGCTGACTGCGCACGCGTCTCAATACCGGACATAGATAGTTCAGGTGAAAGAAACAAACAATAAATCACACAGAGTAGAAGGTAGAACTCCTAGCCGGAGCGGCAATTCATTTGGACTTGGAGAATGACACGCAGCAGAATAAAAAAAAGAATAATAATAGTAAAAAAAAAAAAAAACGGAAGAGAGGACTGACTTATCGAACGGGCCCGATCAGATTAGTTGGAGATCCCCTCTTGTCTAACCTGACAAGGTACATGTACCACAATAAATCAGCCGAAGAAAACTAATTGCAGCAATGGAGATTTCGAGGGGTGCAGACAGTCGCCGAGCCAGACGCGGGGCAGTATGTGATAACATGCAGTAAGACCAGTCAAGATCCCCTTAAAAGGAATGCCCTTGCTAGTCGAATGTCCCCCAAGTTCAGCACAGCAAAGAAATGCACAGGCGGCAACAGATTTGGGCCTGAAAGGTCCTGTCCCATTGGGCCTGGTCCCACTGAGTCCCAAAGGTCCCAAGTAGGTCGTGGACCAGGACCAACGAGATAGGAGTACCAAGGCAGTCCCAAACTGCCTCTACTGTACTGAAAAGGAAAAGACAACTTTTAACAAGAACTCACCCCTACAGCCGTTCAGAAATGAAAAGACAATGCACCGTAGAAAGATATGTCATTTAGAACAGATACATCATCCATCCATCCAATAGGTGAGAAAGCAATCCACATGCTCGCACACACAGCCAAGACCGCAGAGAAGAGGAAGAGCCCAGCACACCCCAACAGGCCACGAAGCACCAAGCAACCTCCCACGGGCTAACCAGGTCACACGACACTTACCTGTGAGGCCCGGCCTCCAAAGATGGATAAGGACTCACCCCCCCCTCTCTTATAAGTCCTCCTGACCCCTAGCTACCAATACACGAAGTGTCCTAGCATGACTAAGAGGGCCTTCCTACACCCCTGTTGCAAAGTAGCAACTTGCAGCAATTCGATGCAGATATGGCAGCCTCCGATCAAGTCTCCCTCTTGAGGGGAAGCCCAAAAGTCACTCAATGTCTTCTTGAAGTGCAGATTCCAGGTGCGAGTACCTCTCACTCTCTACTCCCTCTCGCTTACTCCAATCAGCCTCCTTTGTGTATCGCCACCCCATCCAATCACTCAAGCAACCTGGTCAGGTCTGATGTCGGCCCTACATGACCTAACCAGGTGGGGGCAGTATCCACATACCTCACCGCCCCACTTAACCCTAACTTCCTAACCCTAATCCAAGATTRGGTTAGCCCTAACCTAATTCGGAATTAGGTTTAGGGTGACTAACACCTCTCGCCAGCAAGTAAGTCCGCTCTGATACCAATTGTTACGATCCTGGTCATTTCCCAAGTGCAAATTCACAATGAAAGACAATGCCACCCAATTGCGAAAGAAATGAAGGCACTTGCAAAGAGATAGAGACCAGAGGAGAGAGAAAGAAGAAGAAGAAGAAGAAGAAGAAGAAGAAGAAGAAGAAGAAGAAATGCACCAGCAAGGCCAATGACAATTCCCCCTTCTCTCTCTCCACCTTCCTCCTCCTCCTTCACTTCGCCAATCTTATTCTTCTCTCAATAATAATAATAACAATGAATGGATGAACCAGAATCAATATCCGAAGTTCCCTCTTACTGCTGACTCAACAACAAGAACAACAACAAGTCCACCATAGCTATGGCTTCCCCCCTCCTTCCTCCTCACACATGCATAGGCTATGGCGGACTACTGAGGGCCCTGCCCTCCTGTCCAAAGGACAACCCAAAGCAGCTATGGCGCTGCACTCCTGTCCAAAGGACAACCCGAAGCAGCTATGCTGCTGCTACTGACTGGTCCGCCATGCCAAGCTCTGCCTCGAGCTCCTTGGTGCAGCACTACCCCAACTGGGGCCTTCCAGATGCAGCGCCCAACAAGGTGATGAAGATGGTGTCTACCATAGCCAGGTAAGTGCCTCGACACTCCCCTCCTTCGCCCCCTTCTACCTCCTCCTCAAGCTGGACTGCTCGCCATAGCCAGGCTGAGCTCCAGCTGCCCTTCACCTCCAAGCAGCACTGGACCAGTCCAGCACTGTGCTCCAGCAGCATGTCGCCAATCCTTGCACACCGCAAATGAGAAGGAGTTACTTGCTCCTCCGAAAGATATAGCGGTCTACTGGCCTCCTGGGCGGTGACTTCCTAGGCCGAGCGGCCTCCCAGCAACCAGTACCTCCTCACTTTCGGAGGGAAACATCATTGCAGGCTCTGCTAACCTCCGGACAGGCCCTAGACCCGGGCTACTTGGACTGGTACCGGCCTACCTCTATCCTACCGCTACTGGGCCTCTAAAAATGCCAACTTTTTGTCTTTTTCTGCTCGGCCTCCAGTACCCGACACTCCTACCACTACTCGAGTGGTACGGGCCTACCTGCTACTCGAGTGTTTTTCCCCCTGCTCTAAGTGTCACGGGCCTACCCCCCCCCTACTTGAGTGTTTACCCCCCTGCAACCCTCAAAGTCACGGCCACAGGTAAGTACCGGCCCTGCGGGGCTTTGCAACCAACAAGTACCCTTGTGGGTCACACACACACTCAACCGTCAAGCACTCAGACAGGCATGCAAACCAGCAGGCACGCACACACACACAGACATGGAAACCACAGCAGAATGCGGGAATTTCAGCATGGTATTCATTCCAGCGGCAAATCCCAGAAATCAGCAGTGTTCTCAGTCTGTGTTTTTGGCGGGTCATTACAGGCCGTCTTTTTTAACCCGTTTGGGCGGGAATCGCGCAGTGGTGCAAACGCGAGGCGGGGGGAAATGCATCATGCGTCCAACCCCTGTTCACCCCTCGCAGACGACGATGCGCTTTCCCCCGCCATCGCCACGACCATCAACCTTCACCAGCCATCTTCGCCATCAAGCACCCCGCCAGCCATCAACCGCCAGCCAGCCTCACCATCAAGCCCCCCGCAAACAAGCCACGCCAGCACCCCCTGTGAAGAAGGTTTGTGCCCCCCTGTCCTTCTTCTTCTTCGTCGTCTTCTTCTTCTTCTTTCTACTTCTTCTTCTTAGTCGTTCAACTTCTTCGACGTCTGCTCATCTTCATGTCCTTCTTTTCCCTCTCGTCGTCTTCGTCTCTTCTTCGACTTCTGGTCTGCTTCTTTTCTCTTCCTCTTCTTCTTCTTCTTTTCGACTTCTTTCACTCTTCTGTTCCCCCCCCTCTTCTTCGTCTCCTCCCTCCTCTCTTCTTCCTCCCCTCGTCCTCTTCGTCTTCTTTGTCCTCTCCCCTCGTTTTCTTCGCCTTCTTCGTCCTCTCCTCCTCCTTTGCTTCGCCTTCTTCTTTTTCTTCCAGAACTTTTGTTCCCTCCCACGACGACCCCGCTGGTCAT